GCGCCCGCAATCCTTGCTGTTACTTTCGTTGGAACGTCATGTAATATTTTCGTTTCGTCAATTTATTCGCCATATTTGAACAATCGTTCGAATCAAAATGTTTCTGAGCGATTTTCTGAGCGTATATAAGCGCCCTGTTAAAAGCTATTCACTGCAAATACAAGCTCTTATGATTTATACAAGTAAGTGCAATAATTTAAATATATTACGTTATGTTTTATTTATATTCATAACACAGCTCTTAGTTGGACCCCCTGTGCTTTGAAGCGAGAAATGTTGTACTTGCATGCCATGGTCTGATGAATTTCAACGCTTACGCGTTGCTACTTGCTGAATAGCAATGTATCGATCAGAAATTTATTCATACAACTAAACCAACGTCTCAATAATTGGAAACTTACTTCAAAGTCGAAAGGTATCGTACAATGAAACTTTACAATGCGAGTATATTTGTAAAATTATATGCAATAATTTCTGTTCAGAATTTCCCGTGCTCCTGCACGGCTGTTGACCAATCAAGTTGCGTGTTTCACTGTAGTTATTATATAATACAAAATGACTGAAAAACGGCAAACTTCGCAAGCAATATTATCCGCATTTTGCAACATTTCGCAACGAAACTTCGGAATATTACTAATTTTGTGATGCTCTTTCAAGCTGTGATGAAATTTTTGTCCAGACTTGTCTAGATCAAAATTTCACTCAAAAGGGGAAAAGGTCTATTGCAAACAAAATGGAGCAAACCACCGTCAAATCGAGCAAATCACCGTTCGCCGTCTTATTTCCGTTCATCCCGTATTTATATTAGTCGCACTTAGCACAAGACGTTTAATTCGTCCAGACGTTTAATATGTCTTCTAATATAAATACGGTCACACCTCTTTAGTATTAAATTGACTGTCATATAGGAAAGACTTGCGAGCGCAACCTATTCAAATATAGTGGATACAGCGGTCAGTTATTGGTATAAGAGTGTCAACCAAATTCGAACCGACACCATCTACGATACACAATCTACGCAATACAGCTGTTGTTCTATCGCTACTTGATCGAGAAGCCGACATCTATCAGCTATTGATACAAATCAATAGCTACCATATCAACTTGATTGTTGTAGCTACCAATGAAAGTTTCGTGACTGTATGAAGTTTTGTTTGTTAAAGGCGGAGTGTCACTTGTTGAGCGATGTTATTTAATTGCTAAAATTTACTGATTTTCTTTTTCAAACTGGACCATGTGCGCATGCTCAGCAGTAAATTTTAGCAATTAAATAACATCGCTCACCAGGTGCCACTGAGCATTTAATTGTATCAACGCCTGTTGAGTTCGGAAAGCACCTATACCATTGTGACTCCCGTATTTGGTAGCCAGTAGTTACATTACATACTTTGTATCACAAAAAAATGTGTACTATTTCTGGCGACAATACATACACTGTACTTTGTTAAAAAACCGGTGTACAATACCTGACTGTTGGCATCACCTAACAATTTACAAATGTGAGGTGTAAACTTCGACACAGATAATTTTGAAACGCCAAACCTACAGGAAATTAACAATTTGAAATTGCATGGTAGAACAACAACCAGTACGAAAAAAATACAAAATACTATAACAACAAAGGTGAGTAACAAAGTAACTACAGGAGAGTACCACCAATCCACTGTACCAAACTTTTCTGTAACAATGTTTTAACCATTATTGATAGACAATTACAGTATTTTAGTAATCTGTTTATTGCTCTCTTGCCCCAATTGCCCCGTTTTCATGTGGTTATATATGCTCATGTTTCGTGCACAGTAGACTTAAGGATAAGCGTGTGATTGGGATCAAGATCAAAAAGAAAAATATTCGTGAAACATGAAACATGGGGATAAACACGAAACATGGGGATAAACACGAAACATGGGGATAAACACGAAACATGGGGATAAACACGAAACATGGGGATAAACACGAAACATGGGGATAAACACGAAACATGGGGATAAACACGAAACATGGGGATAAACACGAAACATGGGGATAAACACGAAACATGGGGATATAACGTAAATGTGCGCCATGCTAAAACAGACAAACATGAAAACGAGACCATTATAGGGCAAACCGTGCAATAAACAGTAAAGTCTACTTTATGCACAAACACCACATTTACCACACTTACGTATTGATAGCGTCCATGAGACATGTCAAAACTTCTTCACGCACTTTATATCCCTTGTGAGAAAACGCTGGAATCAACATATCAAGTACAGCCTGAAAATATGATTCAAATAAAAACTTGTTAGTTTATAATTCGTATATTAATTAGCATTTTAAGCAAATAGTAGTTAAGTTCAGGAGTCAACCTCTGAGCAAATGTGAAACATTAACTTGCTTTAAAGCCGCTTTCCAGTATATACTCATGTGTGGACTGGTACATATATTAACTTTATACAGAAAAGACACATACAGTACTGTACTATAATTTCAAACAATTTTACAAGATCTGAGGTTGCAGAAAATATAAATACAAAATACAAATAAATATAAAAGACACCATAACCGTCAATTTACAAAAAAATTCACCTGTGGTGTCATTGCATTCATCAGTTCTAGAAGGAACAAACGTGAGTTCTCTCTCACCTAAAGAAATATTAAACACAAATTTTAGCAACAGGGTGATGACGTCCAATACAAACTCATTCAAATTAATGATCATCAAGAAAACAAAACTTGTCATGTTTTATCAATCGCATGAAATTAATACAGTTTGAGATCAGAAAAAGTCAGGATGGTTGAAAAGATTTCTATTTCAGCACTGAGCCAATTTGCTGAGCACTACTTCTCGCAGCTTGAAATGCAGGCCTTGTGCAAAGGACATATTCTGTGGTTGCTTGTGGGTTGGCCTGCGAGTTACCTGTGATTTACCATTGTATGTAGAGTAAGAACAAAGTCTAAATGAGATTTTAATTATTCATTTCATTTCTTAAATATTATGGATTTCATTGTCTCAATAGCTGTCATCGTCACATTGCCATATTACGAGAGATGAGCCGATACAAGAGTTGTATAAAATCATTGACAATAAACTGCAAGGTATTCACCAAAGTTTCAGTTTAATATCAAAATTATATTATGGAAAGAAAAAAGGTAAAAAGAAAACTCAAAAATTAAATACTTCAGTTAAAACGTTAAATTGTTCTTTAGTAGCATATTGATAAGCATCTAAGTTATCTACTTCCAAAATGCCTCATAAACTAAACAAAACAACTTCAGATGTTAACCCATCAATGCAAAGCTCTCTCTCTTGGTGTTAGACAAAGTAAAATAAAAAGGTTGGGTGCATTGCAGCTTAATGGGCTAAAACCTGGCGCACACGATGCGATTTTAGTCGGCCGATAAAAATCGTTTGACTAAAACTAACAAAATCGTTGTGTGTGCGGTGTCATTTTTAACCGATTTTTGTTGCACGATTTTAATCGGACAACATCAAAACGTTTTGATATTATACGATTTTTATCGGTGGAATTTTAAGTATAACCAATCAGATTTCATGCTCTGATCACGTGCTTGTATTTATTTGGCAACATGGCGGCTACAGTTCAGAGAGCATATTTTTTTCGTAATCGTGTGCGGAGTATACCGATGTATATCGGTACGTCAAACGATTTTTATCGGCCGACTAAAATCGCATCGTGTGCGCCAGGCTTTAAGATATCATCGGAGTGATAAATTCAACGTCAGAATGCGAGAGTTAATGCACCCTTTCGATAATTACGTCACACATACGTTTTGGTCCTGGAGCCTCGCTCTCATCAGTAAATTACGCAAGGTGATTGGCAGTGCTGGAAAATGTCCGGCAGCGCCAGCAGCACCGCTGCCAGGAAATGTTTGACAAAATATCTTCCCAGGAAATTTTCTTACACCTTGCAGGAAATTCCTGTCATCTTATAAACTGAAATGCCATATAATTTACTTATTGTTTAAAAAGTCCAAAAGCATTTTGCAAGAGTTTGCAAACTCGTGCGACACCATCCGTTCTCTGCAATTTACGATGCAGCAAGTCTTATAATTGACTTACACAGGAAATTTTTATTTTTGGATTTTGCTGCCAGGAAGACAAATATATTTTCTAGGCCTGATCTTGATCTTAATTTCCTTTGGGTTTTTTTGGTCACAGGAGCTGATACAGTGAGATTCAAAGCTGAAATCAATTTTGATGGCAGGGAAATAACCAGACGACATTTAAGTAGGAAGGAAACAGCTCAGTTACTAAAGGTACGGAGGCTGGGTATACAAACCTGGACGATGAATGCTCAATAAATGTCTAAGAAATATTCATGGTAGTTTGGCAGGGCTCAAAATAGAGGTTAAGATTAGACACTACCACTCACTTTCTTAGTACGCATCTGATTGGCTAATCGGATATACCAAACGCATCTGATTGGTTAATGGTCTCTTATTGGTAGCGGTAGTAATGACCGGTCAACGGTCAATGACCAGTCACATGGTGACTGCAGGTGCGATAATTCAAATTTTGTAGTCGTACCTCAGTTGTACCGTCCAATGAGTATTGCCGCGTATTTGAGTTGGTACAAACGTAAGACTCCAGGTGTACTTACAGTCTTTAAAATGAAGTACATAAAGCACAGGTTTCTGAAAAATTTCATTTAACCTGAATTGAAACTGCGGGTTAAAACACGAAGAATAATTGCATTTAGAAACTCTACAACTGAATTTTTAATTCTATCAATCTATTTATGTTTCATGCCAAGCGGACATGTCAGACATACACATACGACTTTTAAGTAATTAAAATTACGGTTTGGAATACCTTTGGGCATGGAAAGGTCAAATGGTACCTACAAAAAGTGAGTACGCAGATAGCAAAAGTTCCGTGTACCTATTCCTTGAGTACTTGGCTGAAGTACCAACCAGATCGCAATTTATCGCACCCTGAACTGGTCACACATTTTCACTCTGGGGACGAGACTGACTTTTGAGATGTTGTGGACCGTTAAATATTATGTCAATTCGTTCCGATTTTCTTGTGGTTATTTCGAAGCATGGGAGTTGGCCGGCAGGAGTGGAAAAATTGAGGGGAGCACGCGAGCACCGCTCGCAGGAAATGTTTAAATACGCTGCAGGAAATTCATTTCAATGAAAATTTGAAGGAAACCTTAACACCCATGCCCCACTATGGACGCAACGACATATGGTTGACAGACATTCCTTGAATTTAAAACTATGGTCAGCTAGAACACTATATGTTTATGCACATGCAGACTTAGCACAAAAATACTCCGCTGATCTGCAGGAAATTTTTGTCTCCGGTTGTGCTTCCAGGAAGAAAATTCTTTTTTCCTGCTCTGGTGATTGGCTCACGATTTATGAAAGCGAGGCTCCCAGGCCAAATGACGTAATCATCGAAAGGGTGTATTGGCCTATTACAGATTATCTCAATACGGCTGGTTAATTGGCAAAGGTTAAATAATTAATCGGCTCATTTCTAACACGCTGCATCATAGGGTCTCTATATAATATCGCAATTGAATCTACCTGAAGCGGCAGTCACTTACAGTAGTAAGAAAAGTAGTGAGGGGTGTACTACTCTAAAAAAGCATACATTACGAGGATTTTTTAGATGTTAAAATCACTGCATATGGTATATCTCTGGTATACTGTATGGTATCTCTAGACTATGACCATATTTTCAGGGATTTGCATGGGCCTTTTACAATTTTTGAAATACTTTTCAGGGCATTTTTTCTTTTAAATCAATGTCTTTAGGGTATTGGAAATATTTTTCATGATATTGTGAGAGCATTTTTTTAGATTTTTTTTGTCTGCGAATGAAGTGTACGTCAAGTAATCTTTCAAGTAATATATTGTGCCTCTCGCATTAGCCACGATATTCCACTACTGTAGACTATATTAATGACAATTATTTTCAACAATAACCCATGCACTATTTAGTTTACAAGATTCTTACCACTGCTTTACTGTCACCCAGACGATCAATGATTATTGGAATAACTGCAATGGAATAAAATTTAGAGTAAGAATCACAGTTAACTCTTTCAGTGACTGTCATGTAATGCACTAACTACATTCATTTTTTTACTTTGTCTTATATAATGTGCTACATACGTGCAAATAGTGTAAAAATTATACGTATAAGCTAGGAAAACCGCAACATGAGATGAGGCCAATTACTGCGGATCAACATTAAACTTATGATTACAGAAAATATTAGAAACATATATAGTGGAACAAAAACAGAAACGTAGAACGTATGACAAAGAATCAAACAAAGAATCAAACAAACAAACAAACAAACAAACAAACAAACAAACAAACAAACAAACAAACAAACAAACAAACAAACAAACAAACAAACAAACAAACAAGCAAGCAAGCAAGCAAGCAAGCAAGCAAACAAACAAACAAACAAACAAACAAACAAACAAACAAACAAACAAACAAACAAACAAACAAACAAACAAACAAACAAACAAACAAACAAACAAACAAACAAAAATGTTTTATGTTCATCAATTTGCTGGGTTAGATTTAAAAACAAGAAGATGGAGAAACCAGCCAGCTGCGAGCTTATAGTTGCACTTGACACAGACTGTTTTCTATGTAAGCATATCATCAGGATCGTGAGTCGCGACAAGGGCTAAGTGGTTTAAAAGTTTGAAGGAATGTTGATTTGCGTCGGGTTTCATGTGGCAGTGCATCATTCCATACGCTTGACGATCGTATTAGGTATGACGCACGTCGATGTTCGAGATCGTAAGTCTCGTACATTTCTTAGCCATAAGTAAAATAGTTTTATTCATACGAAGTGAGGTCATTGATGATCTTGAAGAAAATACCATGTCCAAGTATTCATGCCAGCAAGTTAGCGGAATTGAATTAGCTTGAATTAGTCTTTCCTTGTATGTGAGTTCGCAACAAAATTGCAGATGAAGGATATACTTGATAGATCGACTTGCGAGTGGGAATTTTATACATTAAATTAGCCCTAACCAGGACCAGTGAAAAATGCAATTATAGGCCCTCCAGCAGGAATCGAACCTGCGGCCTGCAATTCCGGCGCAGCGCTCTAACCAACTGGGGCCAGTTGTTCAAAGCTGGATTAGTGCTAACCCTGGATTAAAATGTAACCTGCTGTTTTGGTTTGCGTATTTCTGAACGTCTGTTTATTTCAAAACTTCAGGGAAGTCAACTCCTATATGGACCCAGCCAAGATTTCTGAAGAAATATTTCTAAATTTGTAGACCAGCTGTCAGGAAGTTTGCTTATACAAGTTTAGGTTAACCTAGGATTAAGCTAATCGTCTTTCAAACAACCGGCCCCAGAGCTCAGTACAGAGAGCAGTTGTCGAGCTGCTCCTGGTTAGGTTTAATAAATGTATAAAATTCATACTTGCAAATCGATCTACAAAACCCTTCTATAAAATAGTTATAATACTATATCTAGTGTAGATGCCACAAAATCTTGATATTTACATACACCTTACACTGGCATCATCTTATTCATTTTAAGGTCATGATTGGTTTTCTTTTCCTTGATATGGGTTGGGTCTTGCATTTTCTCTTGTTAAATGACATATCAGAAGTAGAAGACCACGCTTCCACGTTGTTTAAGTCCTGTTGTAAAAGGAGTTTGGTGCCGTCGGCATATGCAGCTACTATTTAAGATGTGCTATAAGGTGCGCAGATCTGTTACCAGTTTATTTTTCACCTGTATCTGTCTTTGTTTACAAAAAGGATCCATACTTTTTACCCGTGTTGCTAACACTATGAATTTAGCGTGTACTTTTCGTGACGTCCACGTATCCTAAACTCTCTACTGATGATGAAGTTACGACGTCTGTGTAGATCGTAAAGTAGGAACATAATCAGTCCTAAGATCGATCCTTGAGGTACACCAGACGTTACAGGCAAAACGAAGATGTTGTTTCAAGCACTGTAACCCGTTAAAGTCGACGATGCTGAAGATACGATTGGAACCAAGAAAGCTGCCTTTAATGGTTTTGATCAATGCTTTAGTATTAAATTTAATTTAATTTTCCACGCAGTAACGGCAAAACCTGGTTTGTTACATAACAGGAAAGGGCATTAATTATATATCTAACATGAACAATGTTATGTACAAACGTGACGGCATCCCAAATTGGGTACTTAAACATTTATATTCTTATATCTTAGAGGCTGAAGTTATTCCAATACCAAAAATATCGGTACCTGCAGATATAACAACCGATTTGCGTCCTATTTTATTGACACCTACTTTGTCTAAAATCTGCGAATCGTTTGTATCTGATTGGTTGATTAGTTCAATCAAGAACAAATCGATAAGAGGCAATTTGGCTCTTTGAAGAATTCCTCAACGACTCATAATTTAATTAGTTTGGTACATCACTTATTAAAGGAAACTGATGCGTCAAAATTAGAGTGTTTCTTCTTGACTTTTCTAAGGCGTTCGACCTGATAGACCACAACATTTTGTTGCATAAATTATTGGAATTGAACGTTCCTCCAACTATTCTTAATTGGATTAAAAGTTTTTTTAACTGAACTGAGGCAATGTGTGAAGCTGGGTAGTTGGTCTTCGAGTTGGAAAGCTTTAAACGGAGGAATACCGCAGGGAACTGCTTTGGGTCCTGTTTTTTTTTTTTGGTTATGATAAACGATCTTCTCGATGAATGGCCCGACCGATGGAAGTACGTAGATGATAGTACGGCTACTGAAAGTGTCCCGGTGGATTGTAGCAGTAATCTCCAGGATCTCGTCGATTATATTTATAATTAGACTGTTACCAATAATATGAAACTTAATGTCACTAAATGCAAAGAAATGATCCTTGACTTTGGTAGGCTAAAACGGAATTTCCCACCATTATTAATCGATAACACTGAGGTTGAACGTGTAAATGGACCTATTCCCTAATGAACAAAATTTTGATGTAGACAAGTTTAGACAAAAATTTATCACGGCTTGAAAAAGCATCACAAAATTAATAATATTCCGAAGTTTCGTTGCGAAATGTTGTAAAATGCGGATAATATAGCCCTGCGAAGTTTGCCGTTTTTCAGTCATTTTGTATTACGCATGAGAAATTGATACCTTTTTCAGAAAACGGTATCAATTTCCCGCGCGTAATAGACTAAATTTTGATCTAGACAAAAATTTCATCACAGCTTGAAAGAGCATCACAAAATTAGTGATATTCCAAAGTTTCGTTGCGAAATGTGAGGGCCCCCCAGACCTCTTCACAATATGCGTTCACGTAAAAATATTTTGCCTTTTCACGAGTCACGGATTAAGATAATCATCGATCACATTTCACGGCTAAGTAAAATAGGCCCTTCACGCTTCACGCAAAAAGTATAGGGGGCCCGATCACGTTTCACGGCTAAGTAAAATAAGCCCTTCACGCTTCACGCAAAAAGTATAGGGGGCCCTCAAATGTTGTAAAATGCAAGTAATATAGCCTTGCGAAGTTTGCAATTTTCAGTCATTTTAGATTACAAACGGGAAATTGACAGCCCAATTGGGGCTGTCAATTTCCCGTTTGTAATACAAAATGACTGAAAAACGGTAAACTTCGCAGGGCTATATTATCCGCATTTTACAACATTTCGCAACGAAACTTCGGAATATTACTAATTTTGCGATGCTCTTTCAAGCTGTGATGAAATGTTTGTCTAGACGTGTCTAGATCGAAATTTTGTTCATTAGGGAAATTTTGCTCATTAGAGAAATTTTGTTCATTAGGGAAATTTTGTTCATTAGGGAAATTTTGTTCATTAGGGAATAGGTCCATTGTGCCCGAATTCTCGGCGTTACGATCCAAACCAATATGAATTGGAATGAACACGTTAATAAAATTGTTAAGAAATCTGGGAAAAGATTGTATATGCTTAGGTTATTGAAGGGTCATTGAAACGAGCCAACGCTGACACAAGAATGTTATCCACCGCATTCACCAATTTTATAAATCCAGTCTTAGAATACGCTTGTCAAGTTTGGCATTTCAACATTCCAGGTTATTTGAGTGATGATATTGAAAGGGTTCAAAGAAGAGCTTTGAGAATTATTTTACCAGAACTTAGTTACGATGCACGAGAACTTATTAATATTCCATCCTTAAAGGAACGACGTGAGATTTTATGTGAACAATTCTTTTTGAGAGATGAGAACCTCCAAAAATTGGATGAATTTTTACCTAATAAATCATCCTAGGCTTACGATACGAGGGGAAATTGTAAATATAATAATTATTATTGTAAAACAGAACGGTTTAGAATATTCCTTCCTGCCACAAATTATTTCGAAACTACATTTTAAATAGTGGTTTAATTCCTTTATATATATTTATTTGTAGTATAGCTGATGTAATTTAACCTTTGGTTACAAAATTAGTAAATATATTACAGGTAAACTACGTGAAGCGTTCCTCTTTTGAGTTCCTAAGTTGATTGCAATTTTCGTCATTACCTTAGCAAATTTGCAAAACTCCCTTGCAAATCCCTTGAGGGAATTTGCAATGTTCTTAAAAGCAAAATAAATTTTCCTCAGTTCCTGTTAGAAGTTCTTAACTTCCTGTTACAAGTTCCTAACTTCCTGTTCTGTTCTGTTCTGTTCTGTTCTGTTCTGTTCTGTTCTGTTCTGTTCTGTTCTGCGCATTGCAATTGGCCAACAAAAATAATCCACCAATGAAAACGCTCAGAACAGAACAGGAAGTTAGGAAATTAAAACAGGAAGTTAGGAAAATTTAAAAGGAACTTTCTTTGCGTTGGAATATCGCAACGGCCGACAGGAAAATTGCGAATTTCCTCAAGGGATTTGCGAAGGGTTTTCAAATTTGCAAATCTAATTTTGAAAATTCCAAATGAGTTAGGAACTCAAAAGAGGACCGCTTCATGTAGTTTACCTGTAATAATAATAATAATAATAATAATAATAATAATAAATGACCTCTTCACTGAACATTTACATAAAATGCAATATTTTGCTATTTGCAGACAAATTATGCAGTCAATTATAACTATTTTGAAAAATTACAGTACAATATCCAACACTTTTAAAAATCTGATATTACGGTCTGGTACTTCGTTTTTTCAGCCCGGTCAGGGTTTTCAAAATAACCTGGGGGCCGCTGGAGTTCCGGCGCGTGGCACAAAATTTACCGCCGGTTACTGTGTTTAGTACTTGAATTATCAATTCTGCTCTCCTTCCTCCACTCTGAGCTTTGAAACAAAGTTATTTTTCCTCAACTTGGTCCACTTTATATAGCCTGGTTATTTTCGAAAATGACATACTATTTTGTAAAACTGATTTAGTTATTTGCCATCTTAAATCTTGTTGAAGAATGAAAGCGAGGGACTGGTCATGAAGTATAGGTGGGGGTGAGCTATGGAAATTGAGGGGTCAATCAATTTTCCAAGTCTCAAATTTTAGACCTCCCCCTTCCAACAGCTGCCTACTTTATCAAAACAGACGCCTGCTCTGAATAATTCTGAAAGCCCTGTCCGGTACGTGGAAATCTCACCATCTGCGCAGGGCCGTAGCTAGACCACTAATTAGGGGGTGCATATTCATATATTCGTGTTCTGCCTGACGGATTTCTTTTGAAAGCGATTGTTTTTACGGTATGTGAACATGAATATATGAATTTACACTATCCAACCGGGTCTCATTATCCAAACGGGATTCAAAGTTTAGTATCCCCCCCTGAGAATCCAGTATACCACTTCTGGATACCATAATTATTATACCCTGTCCAATCCAAGTAAGTTTCCATAACTCTCACTGTTACAAATTACAATAACAACAGGAGATTCAACAGTCAACAACTAGACTATTCATTAATATACACAAAAATGCATACAGTAATTGCACATAATATGAGGAAAGGCTTGTGTGGCAAACTCATAGTATTCAAAGTATTCAAAAGCTATCAGGAGACTGTCAGAGGTGCTTAACATTTTCCTAATGTTTGAAATTTTCTTTGTATGCAGTTGGTATACACTGTAAGTCATTCAGTTTGGTGTCCAAAATCAAATTTTAGTACGGTATCCCGTGGATATCAGGATACTGCAAATTTCAGATCCTGGGTAGATAGTCTGACTAACCCATTGAGTGCCGCCAGCACTCTCCCTTCAACAAGTAAAATCATTTGGCTTTAGACAAAGTAAAATAATAAAGTAGGGTGAATTGATAGGTTAAGTTGCATTGCGCCCTACTTTATTATTTTACCCTGTCTAAAGGCGGTTTTCCAGTCCTCGCATGTGCTTGCATCTAATTAAAATAAACTGTTTAGCATTGTGATTGGATGAAAGTGCTCATGCATCACTCGCAGCGAGGAGCTTTGTGCGAGGACTGCAAATCCGCCTTAACCCCAGACAATTTTACTTATCTAGGGGAGAATACTGGCCTCAATGGGTTAAATATGATTGGCTGATCTGATTGATCAAATGCTCAAGATTGATGCCAGTGGCGTGCTGGGTACTATTTTTCTGGGGGGGCCAGTGGGCTGTCAACCAATATGCGCCCCTTTAATATTACACTTGATAAACGAGGGCCGAAGGCACAAGCCGAGCGCCGAAGGTGCGAGGTTTGTCTAGGGGGGTCCGGGGCATGCCCCCAGGAAAATTTTTGAATTTAGAGTGTCTGAAATGCCATTTCCTGGACTTTGGGGGACGATTTGACAGAAATCTGATGGTCAGGAAACAGCATTATAACGTGTTGAAATTTGCAATTTGTACTTAAATTATGCAATGCTAACCACTTCCAGCGATTAATCTAATCCCAATTCTATTCCCTACTGATCTATTGATCTGAATACATTTACAACTTACAGCTCTTTTATACAATAATACATGGACCCCACGCATATGCATTTTAAGGTTTCCTTGCCTGGCTGCCAAAAGGGCGCGTTTCAGCATTATTTCATTACTTACATTACTCATGATGTTTCTTGCGCAAACAACTAAATTGCGTACACAACTTTACATTATCATAACTTCAACATCTAATTTGCGCCGCTCTCGTGAAGCATAATAAAGGGAGTAATATTTCCGTGATCGCTTCCAAACCTGACCAATATTTCGGTAATGAGACATTGCGTTTGATCACTGATCATGTTCCGATATAAATTATTTTTTGTGCGCCGTGAAGTAGCAAATTAGCAAATACGGCTTACAGTGAAAATACAAAAAGTGCCCCACTTCCGCTTCTGTAGTTTGTTGTGATTTACTGTAATTTGTTTTGTTTTTCTGTAGCGATTACCGATTTATCGGCAAATCCTGCGATAAAATTTAAATTTCATTCCTTTTATGCAATGAAACTAACGAAAAATGTATTATTTCCCTTTGCTACAAATTATCATACTTAAAAAAAGAAAAAAACTAAGTTTTATCGCTGTATTTGCCGATAAATCGGTAATCGCTACAGAAAAACAGAACAAATTACAGTAAATCACAACAAACTACAGAAGCGGAAGTGGGACACTTTTTGTATTTTCACTGTAATAGACATAATAATCTGTAATTTAATATATCACTTTGTCGTTTTCTTGGCGGAAGTAACTATATTTTTTTGAATGCGCTTTTTCCCCACCCACTTTCAAAATTTGGCGCAGGATCGGCACCTCCCTTTTCATTTCTGCGCCCCCCAAGAATTGCCAGCTGGGGGGGCCGTGGCCCCCCGGCCCCCCCCTGCCAGCACGCCACTGATTGATGCATGTTTTGGATTAGCATAGACTTTGGATTAGCCAGACACATTATTCTATGGCTTGGCAGGTACTATGACATAAATTTAATGGAATGAAAACTAAATGTGCATAATAAAAGCATAGTCAAATATAACAATCTACACTTTTCACTAGCTTTCAAACCAGATATTGCTTACACCCACTTGGCTATTGTTGACAAATTGCTGATATTGGAAAACAGTGTATAAGAGAATACATCAATGAGTAGAACAGGAAATTTAGCAACTCATGCAACTTTAATAGGCAATGCAAATATACAGACAAAATGTCACTCACCTTTATTTAAGTTCAGTTTGACAGACTTGCCTCCTCTTCGTACGAGTATTGTGAATAATTCCAATCCACTTGCACTTATCTACAAGAGTTCAGATGACAGAAATAAATCATCATAGATATCAAAGAAAATGAAAATGATGGCACTATTATTTTATTATATTAGTAACAAGATTTGAACCAAAAGGTTGAACAGTCAAACTTAAAAACATTGTCTATGTCCACATTAAACTTTAATGTTTGTCTAAAACATTCGAGCCTTTTATACTGTTAGAAATATTGACGTTTCTCATGAGAATAGACAACGTATTTATCTGCCACTGTTCATCCGCAGATGCAAATAACCTTCACTTTTAAGGGCATGGACCAGATGATATAAAATCCACATGATAAATATATTAGAATTGAAAAACAACTAAAATTGAGCTACAACCTAAAAAAGCTGTACACTATATTGCTACTGTAATACAGTTACTAGAAAATTCGTTTCAGTAAAATATATATTTATGAGGAAGACTCTATACACATATTGTACTCAATACATATAAATAACGTGAATAAGGAATTTTACTTCGAAAAAAGAATATTCGATAAATATTTACCTGTAAAAACAAGTTTAGCAGTCAAATGCAAACTATTTAATCGGAAAAACTGTCTCTTTGCTGTTTATAGACATAATTTATCATTGAAATTGTTAATTTTATAATACTGCACGAGGGACCGAGGGTTGGATGCAAATTCAAAACTGTGTTTTAGAAATGAAAATATTCTACTTTTGATTTCAATATATATTTAGTATTAAGTTTCTTGTTTAATTTTTCAGTTCAAAACATTTAGAAATTTTACATGTATGTGTATATTGATATACCTTGTAGTTCCCACTGTTTATCCAAGTTTTCAAGTTATCAACTAAACAATCTATCGCATCGGCCGTTAGCGGACTTAAAGGATTGCTCAGATATTCCTTTAGCTCTTCGCTGGCTAGCATCTTCTTGTGGGTGTCGTGGTGTTGAACCATTGCTATCAGATGACTTAGTTCTGGGTAGTCGTCCATTTTAGAGTCGGCCCTTGATTACCCAAGTTCCCAAAATTATTCAATCTTCAAAATTCACAGACCACTAGACCGCACACACGGTCAAGCAGACGGTATATCCTTAAGTGATTCAATCTTGCTTTTCTTCCAGTTACATGGCAAAATTGTAGATGGTTTAATAACTTCGGAAATATAAATCTAAAGTGGGTGAACACCACGTTTGTTCCACAGGCCATAAAACAGCCGCCATTTTTATCGCTCACGTTCACAATTTTACGCAAACGTGACTACACGCAACTCACGAGGGCTTCACGCAAGGGTTCACGAAAATAGTCACGAGGGATAAAACCACTGGATAAAACCAGATAAAACTCTATAGAGGGTCCTGAAGGGGTAAAATGGGAACTGGGATTGATCTAATTTTAGACTGGGAAAATGGGATTTGGGTTGCTGGGACTGGGATTTAGCCACTGGGAATGGGAAATGAGTCCTCAAAAATGGGAATGGGATTGAGGTAATGCGAGTCGATACCAATTTTTCTACATTTTAAGTGTTTTAAAATACAATTTTGATCCGTTTTCGGAGTTTTGGTCATCATTTTTGTTGTTAACTATATTATTCACAGCACTACCTGCGAACAGGCATACTCTGGCGCCCGGAATTCTGGGTTTTCTGATCATGCGTCTCTCAGAATGCTGCAAATGCCATTTCCGGGATTCAAATTTAAAAATTTTCTGTGCCTTCGGCACGAGCTCCCCCGATATTTCATAAAGTGTCCACCACTTGCACACACGGTGGCTTAAAAGTTCTTAAAACTGTTTATTCTACCGATAAATAAAGGGTTGTTTATTGACTGGGATTTCAATAACTCGGACTGGGATTTCTAATGAAAATCCAACTGGGACTGGAATTTTGCCAAAATTTCTGGTGGGAAATGGGATTGGGACCCTTCAGGACCCTCTCTATAGTCTCTATACGGGGGTTTGCTAAGGCACTCTGAACAATTGTAAGGAAATTTTCTTGAGCACGTTTAAAAACGACTTACAAGCTTCTCTTTTATAATAATGTACTTGAATAAAAGACTATAATTCAAAATAAGTTAATGTCCTGGGGCCGGTTGTATAAAAAAGTGATTAAAGTATATAGTTAGTGGAAACGTCATCCAATAAGAAGCGCGTATTTAAGAGTTAATCACTATTTAACTACAAAATAGTGATTAAAAAGTGATTAAGAATTTTATACAACCGGCCCTGGATTACATTGGGCGTTTATAGGTGCACACGGGGCCGTCGCGAAGAGGCGGGGGGTGATATCGTATTTGCCGACAAAAGTTAAAATTTTGACGTCATATCATTTCGAACCACTAATTATTAATGTGGGGGAGCAACCTCGTTCCCAGGATCCTGGGTACGAGGTTGGTGGGGGAGGAGGCAAAAACATTTTCCCGGACATTCTCTTTTTCATTTTTTATTTGGGTTAACTTATCGTTATTCTTTGAAGTTTTCCTTAATGTTTTTGTTAATTTCTCCAAATTTTAGCTAAAATTATTAGTTTTCAATCAATGCCAATTTATTTTTTTTATATTTCAGGTATTGTATATTTTCAGGTATTTTCCTTCCTATCCAATTCATCTTTTGCAGACTACGAAAATAGTTTGCCGACACTCCTTCCGGCATCAGTTTGCCGACAAGATGTTTTCAGGGCGGGTGTGGGCCATAGGGTGTGGGCGCAAACACTATGTTCATGATATGATATATTTAGGGTTCTCGGTTCTCGCCCCCGCCCTCTAATAGTGACTGGGATCCGAGCCTACCCAGGGGCGGACTGGCCTATACGTAATTCACCGGGAAAACTCAGAAAGGGGGCGCCGCTTGTATGGCTATCGTGAGCAACAGCTACATAGAAATTGTGTGCAAACTGTGCATTATTTCGGATCCGTATTTCGGAGTGAAAACTAAACATATGCACAAAAATAACATTTGGCATTTCGCCTATTCTCGGAACCGCTGCTTTACAAATAAAAATTGTTAACGAGCAGTAAAACAACTTTATTTTATTTCATCAGACATAACAAGCATTTGACGTAACACTGAAGACGCTTTCGCTAAAATAGCAATTATGTCATGTACAGTAATGTTATCAAGGAAGTCTTTCTCGCTTGTCATTAGCATTACAGCTTCCAACTTATCATTCGCTAACTTGATTTTAATCTAGTTTTTATTTGTTTCAACTTGCTAAATGCCCTTTCACAGTTAACTTGCGTAAATGACAATGTCAACAAATATTCGTACACAACAAACAAATTTGTTAGAGCTGAAGTGATGATTGAGCACTTGAAGAGGATTTTGTGACAGCAAGCAAGACACTTTTTACAGTTTCCTTTGCGAGCAGCATTTCGATTTCTTAGTACTGGATTCTTGCTGACACAACCGTCTTCATTATCACTGCTCTCCTCTTCACTGCTCTCCTCCTCATTGGTACTGGTCATGGTGGCAACGTCATCAGAAGCACCTTCAGACTCATCAGGAAGTGATCGTGATAACACCGTGAAATTTCTCGCTAAACAGCATAATTCTTCTTTCAGTGACAAAGGGTCAACGCCAGTTATCTTAGCAACTTTAGTAAGGCTGTTTTCAGAAACCCCAGACAAGACTATTTCATCAAATCGTCGTGGATCAAGATATGCTGTATCTTTAATCAGTTTACCGTTTTGACTAAAGCATTGGTCAATACTGGTCGTAATCTGGTCAACTACTCGTCTGAAAACGTTTGCACGAAACCGCACAATTGGATCCTCGGCTAGCATATCAGATGCTTGCTCTCCATTACTCTTGAATCTTCTAGTTTCGATTCATCTTTAATGTTGTCAAGATCGTCTTCAGCCAGTTTGGCATTCATTGACTGGGTAAAATTAATTGATGCTTCATACAGTGGTGTCATATGAGATTCTGTGTATCTCGTCTTTTGATGACTGCACCATGTTCCAAGCACTAAGGTAATCCAAACCACTTGTTTGCAAGTAATCGGATGCTTGACGTAAAATACTACGCAAAAGAAGTAGAAAATACACAGTTAAAATGTTACTGAATTGTAACCATTTTTCAAGCAACGTCGAGGCCTCAATAGATGCCTTTGCATTGAATTTGGGCAGATTCACAATATCATTCAGTACCTTTAGCATGACAAAATATGTTCCGTTTTTTTATTGTTATACAGACAAAAAAATTGTTTCTAATACTGCCTGCTTAGGCCACCATATAGTGTCACCAATCTTCTGCAATTTCCTTAGCTTTGCTGAACCAACTGCTTCGTCAATCTTTATCCTGCTCCAAACATCCATTCGTTTGCACGAATCTGAAAAAAAACGTTACGGTGCTTTGAAGCAAGCTGATCAAATTTTCACTTCGGTTATGTTTTCTACCATATCTGGAGCAGCAAGGTTTAGCACATGAGCGTAGCACCATATGTACAACGAATTTGGCGAAACGTCTTTGATCAGCTTCTGTACACCTCCGAACTCCCTACGCATATTTGATGCTCCATGAAATGATTCACCAATAATATTTTCCATCTTTAGACCTTGTTGCTCAACATTTGTCTTCAAAAGTTGAAAAATACAGCTGCTGATCCATCATTAACTTTTGATTTATTGACTTCCAGGCCAAGAACATAACGCAAAATTATTGTTTCCGATCCTGTTCCACCGTGGCGGTGTCTTGTGTACCACCCATCTCTACTGAAAACTTCTTTTCTCCAATCTCTTGAATAATTTTTGATTTGATGATGTTTAAAATTGCTAGCAAAATTTTGTTGACTGGGATTTTGAAAGCATTGCTACTAAATTTCCACGTCGACGACTATTCTGCTTGCCTTTTCGTTTCAAATTTTCTCGTCTTTTCTTACTTTTATGAATTGCTTCCTGTACATGCATGACTGTTTAAAGGTACATCAAATTCCGAAATCAAAAGGATTGTTTCTAAAAAATTGCCATGATCAACTGATCTATCATCTAAAGTGTGTGAAGACTCGTTTCGGTGTCCTCTGAATGAAAAGGATCGTTTAGCAAGGTGTTTGAATATTCTTTCTAAGAGACGAATGTTTTCTTGAACATCGCGCCGTCGAGCATTTACCATTTTCGAATTAGTGAGAGAACTTATGTCTTTGTTAGACTGGGCGTGAACAAATACCATTACCAAAATAACATATAAATTATCTACAAAATTCCAAAATAGGGGCGCCAAAGAACATTTTAATCAGGGGCGCACCGGGAAATTTCCCGGTATCCCTGTGGGCCAGTCCGCCCCTGAGCCTACCAGACCATCGGATGAAAAAAATTTCCGCCACTGGACTCGATCTACGACAAGACAATGTTTTGAATTTTTTGTTTCTGATGTTATACACTCAGGTGAAGATATATGTTTGTCTCTGAGTGTGTCCACAACGGGCAACCTGAAAAGAGGGTGGGAAAGGGTATTTTCGTGAGCCGTGAATGGTCAATATTTGTTCGCGTGAAATGTGAAAATGAAATGCTTGATTTTAGTGTCGTGAAATGTGATTTGTTCTGCCGTGAGGCGTGATTGTCGATGAAAATGCTCCGTGACTATGAATGAGAATTAAGGTGTCTGTTTCGTGAACTGTGATTTTGCTTTGTTTATTTCGATCTATTTCATAATAGTCATAATAGACATGCGCGATAATCAATTTATATGATCGATCTCACTCGATTGCACAAGAGTGAACTTCGGAGGCCTTTCGGAGGTCGTCGGCATACTCGTCATTCAAACTTGTAAGTTATGATTAGTTTCAACTGACAGGTAGAGAAGTAAGAGAACTTAAAGCGTAGATACTGTACCATGCATTAAACCGCCATACTCTTAATACTAAACCTATTATTATTATATTATTTTATTAGAATCTAGTTTTCCGTGAAATTGCTTGATCAATTCCTTGAAAATTGACACGTGAATCATGAAACGGCTGTTTTTTCGTTGTGAAACGTGACTCATACCCCTCCCCCCTTTCCCACCCTCTGAAAAGTTTGTTTGACCGCGGTGGGAATCAGAACCCTCAACCTTTCAAATTGGTTTGATACGGCCGGTAGCCCAATGTTCTATCAATTGAGCTATACGATATATCTATACGGTAGAACGGTAGTTCCTTCGATAAGCCTGTAACTGTTAATTGTTGAAACCAGATCTGAACAATATTTTGCTGCCCATATTGTTTGTGAACAATATTGTTAACAACCAGGACTGAACAATATGGGTAGGCTTGTTTTCAACGAACAACATCATTGAACATCATGTAATGTTACAGTTTTTAAATTTGTTTTACTTGCTCTTCTACATTATTACAAAATTAAATAAGTTTTGTCTAACGTTTCGGGTTCCTGACGAAAACCATTTATCCGTTGATGTTTATCTTGCATACTGTATCTTGTCTGATTTATTTATCAGTTTATCTTGTCTTATCTTATCTTCTTTTATCTTGTTTATCTTTGGAAACTGAAACGTTTATAGACAAAGCTTATTTAATAACTGATTTTGTAATAATCTAGAAGAACAAAGTAAAAAAACCAAATTGAATGAACCTGGATTCAACCTTTGAACTAAAATTGTTACAGGCTGGGCGTTTTTTGCAGTGTAGAGGCCCTAGACTATTATTATCGATCTGTTACAGCAATTGTAAATCCTGTGTTTGTCCTAACCCACCCTTGTCAGCTTTATACCTGTGGGAGGAAACCGGAGCACCCAGAGAAAACCCACGACCTTCGGCAGAGCGTTGACTGACTCTTTTCACATGAGGGGCATGCAACGAGAGATTCGAAACCCACGATCTCATTAGCCAGTTTTCCACTTCAATCGTGTCGTACCGAAACGTACTGGCCGGAGCATACGTAGATTGAAAAGAGGTTCAGATAAATCCACGTACTTCCGGGTGGGTATTCGCGTATCAAAATGAAAAGTTCGTCGCAAGTCAACTTTTTGGCCGACTACGGAAGTATATATTAACCAATCATTTTTGAAATTTTAAAATGTTTTTGATACTTTCGGTTACTTCGGTACGCTTTCATAAGCCAGTTTTCCACTGCAAGCGTACCGTACCGAAACGTATCAAAAACATTTTTAAATTTCAAAACTTAGTGAATATTGATTGATTAATACTTCCGTTGTACGCCAAGAAGTTGACTTGCGACGAACTTTTTATTTTGATACTCGAATACACCTGGAACTACGTGCATTTATTAACCTCTTTTCAATCTGCGCATGCTCACTATGTCAGTACGTTTCGGTGGCATAGAACGGCACCGGACCAGATCAGTACACCGGACGCCCCTAAGGCCGCGTTTACACTATACCGGATTGCTATCGGAGTGGGTCAAATTTTGTAGGTATCGAAAGGCTGTGAAGATTTTTAATCTCAGAGACCCAAATAAACATGCCAATTCTGTCAAACTAATAAGCATTTGCTACTAACCATTGCTCCGTAACGGCAAAAGAAGATGTCGTGACCAGCGAATCCGGTATAGTGTAAACAGGGCCTAAGATACAATACTTAAATGAAGACTGACTTCCCATGCATGAGGAGATACCAGGATGATCATGGTGATTATATATATATATATATATATATATATATATATATATGTCTCATATGTTATATATAGCATACAAAATAAAGCACATTTAATCAAGTTTTTATAAAAACGACTTCACAACTTGCGCTAACGCAAAGCATCATGGTAGTTTAGTTATCACGGCAGAATTTGCATGATGGCGGCTGTTCACTTTGCATATGCGTGCGTGGTCAATAGATGAAATTTACACGAGTAATATTTTCGTTTAGTTCTCAATAAAAGCTTTCCGACATTCTGCGAGGTTTGTTTCAGTCTGTAGTCTAACATGGGATCTCTAAGAGTCATTGATTTTGAGATATTTAACATGACGATCGGCCCGGGCGAAGGCGAACATGACTTCGATCGGACATGAACGAACACAAATTTAGACTTTTCACACATTTTAAAGGTAAGTACATCGCTAAAATTTGTGTAAAATAAGTAAGACACACTTGTTCATCACTTACAATAGGCAGTTCTGCGATCGAGTCCTAGTTAATAGTTCCAGAGGCAAAAGTGTTTTCACATCAAGCCGGCTTAAAACAACACATGCTTGATCAAGTGTTCCATTACAAACCAAAACATTGAGGACGTTTGGCGCGAAAACTATCCATTCAAAGTATCGGCTTTTTCAGTATCAAAGATTTAAACTGTTAAACAGTACTTTTAAGTACTATTGGCTGCTGTTCACTGTTCGGTGAAGAATTAAAAAAGAAACTATTTGTTCGTGTGTTTCTGTTTGCTGTTTATATTCCTTTTACTTCACGTTTTGGTGCATTTTTTTGCAAAGTAATGGAGCAAACAGATAATATATTTACTGGTCAATGCAGAGAATGGACGAGGAACCTCAGAAGTATTCCTCCTTTCACACATGAGCTATTAAAACAGTATTTAATTACTGATACTTCGGGAAAACAGGGAAAACCACCAAATGCACACAAGCATAAGAAATATGGCTACCAGCTTTTTAAAGAAAAAATGGTTACCAAATTACAAGTTAAGCCAAACATTTTAAAAGGAACTGAACGTTTCTTTCTTGTTAAATGCAATGTACATGCTTCAATGAAAAAGGTGCAATATACTGTATATGTCCACTTTCACCAGGATACAGGAAAAGTGTCAACTGCAAGTTGCTCTTGTGTAGCAGGACAGGGTGGTTTATGCAAGCATGTAGCTGCATTACTTTACCAAATTCTGGACTTTATTCAGCTTGAACTAACTGAAGTCCCAGATGACTTAACATGTACACAGCTACTGCAACAGTGGCATGTACCAGCAAGTGAGGATCTTAAAACTGCTGTACTTTTTGATAATATCAAATTTAGCAAGGCAACTTCAACAAGGAAATGTTATAATACTAATAATACAAACAACCCAGCTCCCTCTTTTGCAAGAAATGTGACTGATACTGACATTAAAAAACTTAAGGATGGATTAAAAACTGTAGGAACATGCAACTATTTTGAAAACCTACTAGAATCAAACAATTGTCGACCTTATGACTACAATGAATTTCTGGCAGAATTACCTTCAAAAAAGAAATTCACCGAAGCCCAGCAGAGTGCGGGTCAATTGTTTAGTGTAGAAATAAGAGATTCAATACTGAATGGAATAACCCATCCAAATTTTCCCGAAGTGTGTAAGCATATACCATGCCCACAGCATGTACCATTTGTTGAAGAAAAGCTGCTCAAAACAAAGGAACAAATGATCAATATTGAGTGCAACACAAGAGGGCAGTCCGACAACAATCTGTGGTTTGAAGAAAGGCGCCTTCGTTTAACTGTCTCAAATTTTGGTTTGGTATTGAAACGTAGGGAAAGTATTTTTCCAAAGTCAATACTTACCAAACAGTTTACTTCTGTCAATAGCAAAACAAAAACACCAAAACCATGTCTATGGGGACAAAGCAATGAACAAAATGCAATTACAAAATACTTAGAAAAATGTAACCATGATGGACAGTGTATCAAAGCATGTGTTCAGTGTGGGTTGGTAGTTAATGTAGAAGCTCCATGGCTAGGTGGGAGTCCAGATTGTTTCCTACATGACCCTAGTGAGGAGAAACCGTACGGTATTGGCGAGGTCAAATGCCCATTTTCTAAAAAGGACATGACAATTGAAGATGCATGTAGTGACTCTTCATTTTTTATGCTGTCTGCTAATGACGAAAACCCCAGACCAACATTGAAAAGAAACCACAACTATTACTACCAGCTGCAAGGGCTAATGGCTACATGTAATGTAGAATGGGCAGATTTCATAGTTTACACCATGGAAGAAGTTTTTAGCGAAAGAATATACTTTGAAAATGAATTATGGAACAAAAACATGTTACCTAAGCTAACATCATTTTACTTTTCATTCATTTATCCTGAACTATTAAAAGTATAATAAACTATCAAATTACAACTATGTTTACATGTGTTCTAAGTGTTATTCTGAATCAGGCTTTTCGTTTATTAATGGTGGGTGGAAAAGAGTTAGATAGGAACAAATAACCCAAACTTTGTTCAGTTCTGATGCCATACTCAATGGGAAAACATTTTTTAAAATTCGAAAACATTTTATGCGTCGAATTGCCCTTTCAACATGAACTCGAACTGCTGCAATTCTCCTAGTCTCATTTTCATCACTAACCGACAGCTGAGGGGCTCCATTTAAAAATGGTGGGATATTAAGTTTAACTCCATCTGGCATGTCACTCTCAATATCAAAGCCTCTATCTGCCATGACATCGTCACCTGGTTCTAGCATGTTTAGAATATGACAATCTCTTGTGATTTGCTTATCACTTGACCGCCCCGCATACAGCTCTGATATAAATGTAGGGTATCCGGCAGGGGATATTCCAATAAGCCCTTTGGCAGTATTGTGGTTTTTATATGAAGAATAGGTTGCTGACTGACTTCTAAACGATGTTGGCATTTCGATATATATTTCAGTGCAGTCGATAATGACACGGGTATTTGGATAGGCATCCTTGAAAGATTGTGGCATGGTTTGTTGAACATGTTCACGTGATGCCCATATGGGAAGGGCCCTTAGTCTATGGTAAAGAAAACCCAACCAGGTGGTTTCAATGCGTGAATACTGGGCTTGTGAAATCCCAAACCTGTTGGCAATGTCAAGTCCCAACAGCCCACATCTTAATCGAACTAGGATCATGAATAGCTCTTGTTCTGGTGGTAGTGACCTTGTTCTACCATGTTTCGCTTGTGTTTCTGATGCATGTTCAGTGTTATTTGAGCCAATGTACATCAGGAAATTACATGCTGGTTGTAGATAATCAAAGAATACTTTAAAAGTTGCATAATTTGGAAAACTTGTGTGTAAAATTTGAAGTTTGCATCACTTGCAATGACATGTTCAATTCGAAGTACGTGTTGTTTGTATTTGGTTGATAACTCGTCATATTTTTGTTTTAACTCAGCATGTTCACTTTTTTCTAAATCATAGTTTAACTGTAGCTTATTCATTTTCGTATTTTCATTTGTTGTTTCAAGAAGAGTACTTGGACCACTGTTTGTCTTGGGACCTGAGCATTTTCTACCTTCACTGCTGTTGTTTGTTTGTCTATATGATGACATAGGAGTAGTTGGTAATGAATTTAATACTTTCTTGCCACCAGGAAAGTGTAGTGAGCAGACTTTGTGGCTTTTTAAAGGTTGTTTTTGTATACCTAATAAATTTAGCCATGTTTCTTTAAAGCTTGACTCCCGAGGAAATTGGTGGAATGACAATTCCGGATTTTTCATGCTGTTGCTTTTACAAAGTGGTACACAACATGTTGTTCCTCCTTTCTTTTTCAACACAGTTTCATTTGCAATCTCCATCTTTTTTTTTTGCGAAAAACACACCAAAACACGAAGCAAAAGCGGTCAAAGCCAACGAATTTCGAGCAGCGACAGCGAGCGTCAAGTAACTTAAATACACGAACAAATATTTCTCTTTGTAAATTCTTTAACAGCAGCCAATAGTACTTAAAAGTACTGTTTAACAGTTTAAATCTTTGATACTGAAAAAGCCGATACTTTGAATGGATAGTTTTCGCGCCAAACGTCCTCAATGTTTTGGTTTGTAATGGAACACTTGATCAAGCATGTGTTGTTTTAAGCCGGCTTGATGTAGATAGAAAAACTTTATTTATCCACGCTAACCCTGTCAACCGAGGCTGATTTCCACAGGGGGCGTGTAAAAAGGAATTACAAATATAGTATAAGGTATTTAAAGCTATTTACAATCTATAATATCAACTAAGTTATATAAACTATAAGTAAGTCATATATATATTTACAAGTATTTTAGGTTTTCAGTTTCTTAGGATCTTGTTTTAGTTAAAGAATGTGAGTAGCAATTTTATTTTCAAAACATGACAGGGATTTGCTTTCCCTAATTTCATTTGGAATAGAGTTCCATAAGTGAGCTCCGTTATACATGAAACTATTTTTCATTTTATTTGTTCGAGGTTGTGGTAAACAAAGACCACTGGAAATGTCCCGAAGTTTGTAATTTGTCATCCCACTTTTATAGGTGAAAAGGTTTGTGAGTGACTCAGGGCCCATTTTATTCAGAATTTTGTACATTAGTTTTGCTTTTGCCTTTTCTCTTATTGACTGAAGTGGCTCCCAGCCCAAAGCCTGTAAAGCAATAGTGTGATCTATATCGTTGCTCATACTCATGATAATTCGAGCAGCTCTATTTTGAAGTTTCTGAAGTCGTTTTGACTGTGTTTCACCAAACACATCCCACACTTCACAACAATAATCGAAATGTGGACGAACAATAGCATTATATATTGAGATAAGTGTATCTCTATTAACAAAAGGTTTAACACGACGGAGAGCAGAGATTCCGGATGTTATTTTCTTGCAAATATTTTCAGTATTACTTTTCCAAGATAAATGCTGGTCAACTATTATTCCAAGAGTTTTGCATTCATAAACTTGTTTAATTTGTTTGTTTTCAATAATAATATTTGGGTGAAAATTTTTTATCATTCGTTTTGAGCCAATCAACATGAATTCAGTTTTAGCTACATTCAAGCTAAGTTTATTGGCCATCAACCAGTTTCTAAGATTTTCTAGATCAGAATTTACTGCAATTTCAACATCGGTCATTGAGTCTCCAGAAGCTGTGAGACTTGTATCATCAGCAAATAGGCGAGGTCTTGTATTATCAAGGCACTCGGGTAAGTCATTGATGTATAATAAAAACAATAATGGTCCTAAAATAGAACCTTGTGGTACACCACATCTAATTAAGCGCTCCGATGAAACAAATCCATTTATTTTGCACTTCTGGCTACGATTTGTGAGATAGGATTTTAGGAAAGAAAGAGCTTGTCCTTTTATTCCATAAAACTCCAACTTTTCTAGTAGAATATTGTGATCAACAGTGTCAAATGCTTTTTTTAAATCAATAAAAACTATTAAGTTAAATAGTTTTCTATCTAAATTTACATACCACTCGTTTGTGCAGTCTAGTAATGCTGTGGCTGTTGAGTGAGATTTCCGGAAACCAAATTGTGAATTACTTAATAATCCAAATTTGGTTAAATAATTGTATAGTTGGTTATACAGAATTCTTTCCATGATTTTGCTTATTGCTGGTAAAACTGAAATTGGCCTGTAGTTTACTGGAATATTTCGTTGGCCATTTTTATAAAGAGGTGTTACTCTAGCCATTTTCCATTCATCAGGAAAAGAAGATAAAGTAATAGCCTGATTAAAAATAAATGTCAGTGAATCTGAAATGGCAGGTGCAGCTATTTTAATAATTTTACACGAAATCTTATCAATGCCGGTCGCTTTATTGGTTGATAATCCACATAATAAATGAACGATGTCATTTACAGTTGTAGGTTGGAATGCAGCAAATTCTGATGTAGCTTTTTTGACATATGCCTTAAAATTGCAACTGGACGTATCAATTTTACTTGCTAAATCAGGCCCAATATTTGAAAAATATTCATTGAAGCCTTCCGCAATA